GAGGCGCCACGAAGGCGGGGTCTAAGTTGATCGCAGGTGTGTGGTAGCTTCGCGACAACGATGCAGAAGCTTGGGTCGGTCGCTAATGGGCACATTAGTTATTCTTTTTTGCAACGTTCAAAAAGTGCCGAACAACGGAGCCATCAATTCTAATTCTGTTGTGTGTATGTTTCGACAGACGGAAGTCAGCCCGGAGGGCGTCTGGTGTCTTCGTTGGAAATGAAGGCCAGTGCAGTATACCGCTGCTTGTCTGTCGTCTTTAACGTGCATCACGCAATAGTGATACGCGACCGCACATCGGCACGATGCTTCTCCCGATTTTTTTCAAAGCTTTTGCTGTTTGTGTTTAGGGCGATTAAGGTAATTACTTTAATGTTAACATCTAGTAAGTAATTAATCATTACTTTCGATATGTGAATGTAAAGTTCACGAGAGAAATCATCTTCTCGTAAGTTGGGTACTCACCGCAGTGGTGAGTGCCCAACTAAGGAGAGGTAAGGAGAGGGAGCACCGCACTGCTCCCACTCCTACTCCTTACCGCCGTGCTCCGGCCCACTCCTTACAATAGAAATCATTTTGTTATAATAACATAACATTAATAATTAGCGAGAATATTTTGAGAACTTCTTTATAATTTTAGATTATCGTAAAATAAAAGAGCTGTTTTTGTTTGCTAGTTGATTGATGCCGTTGGCAGAATTCTCAATGATCCTAAACGTCAAAACGAAAACGAATCCTTCTTATTTAGCAAATTGGTCTCGGGAACCCGAGAAAAAAAAATGAGAACAAACAAATTATGCCCGGCACATTAGCGATTCTTTTGGTTTACTACAGTGGTATGACAAATCTTGTACTTCGTCATATTTTTAAATTGTGCTAGACGGCACGACGACGACGACCACCAGATCATTGCGCACCTTGACGGAAAGGCTGGAAAAGGTTGCCGCCGTCTATGAGCAACGGCGGCAACCAGATTGGTTGTCTGGTTGCCGCCGTCGCTCATAGATGCGGTAGCTGTCCAGAGTTTTGTATAGTTTTGTGTCGACATTTGTTTGGAACCGGACACGAAACTGGGGAAACTAACCCTAACAGCTCCGCTGTAAAAAATCTATAGTTAGTGGCATGTTTCTTCAGGGAATTCGAATGTGTGGGGCACCCATAGGCGTAGACTACGGTGGGGCATCGGGGCTCGTGCCCCCCCTGGTGAGATCCAGGGGGGGGCATGATCCTTACCGAGACGGTCTACGTGACAAGTAACGAGCTTGCTCTGGCGAACGACTTTATCAAACAAACACCTGTCAGAGAAAGCACATTTCATGCTGCAGGATAACCTGTGTAGTTGCCGCATTTGTAAAACTCCCTGACTGTACATATCTGCTTGACTAAAGTGTTTGCTTGCTTGAGCCTCTGTTCGTTTGAACACTGCTTTGTGCGTAGTCTTGTTAATGAGCGTTCGACCTGATCATCTGCAGCCGCAGGCTTTATTTCCATGTAATAAAGAGAAAAGACTCGCGGCCAAGTGAATTACTGCTTCAGAAGCACAGGGTAGTGTGGGTTTTTCCCCCATAACTTCGCAGCTGGCACAAGCATTTTGTTTGCCAGATTTGTGCTCGCCGACGCATGCGCCGTGGTACCGGCGATGAACACACGGCTACGCTTGCACGGTGATTGACATTAAAGACCGACCAACGAAACCATATTCCGCAAGGTAGGCAAATGCCCCTCGCGCCCTCCTCTTTTCACCCTCCCCCAAAAATCACGTGACGGCAGGGGCTTCTTTTGTGTCGGCTTTTTCTGTAAAGCTAATCCTCAAAAAGCGCGAAATGAGCGGCTAGCTGCGAGCGCCACAACCACCTTGAGACATCCAGGTGTCTTCCCTCGTTGACGCGGGCACGCTCAATCCGCGGGATTGAGGAAGCCAGCCCAACCGAACGCTTTTTCCCATGAGCTGCAGGTCCGCTCTCTGCCATCGCGCGGTTGCTGGAACCATTCCCGTGTCTGCACAAGGATTGGCTTGCGCAATAAAGGGTTCAGCTAATAAAGAAACAGTTAGGGCGCAGGCGAGCTGGTGCAAGTTTACCATTTTTTAGACCACCTGAGACTGGGTGGAAGAAACACGACGACGTCTCAAACACAGCTAACCACTTTATTCAGTTCTCCCTCCTTTTATACATCCTGAACCCAAAATCGTCACCATAAAAAACACTCCAAACAAAGGCACCAAGGGGACACGTCTTGACTTCGCAGCCACAATGATGTTTAAAAAAAAAGAATCACTTTGAACTAACAAAAGCTACACACACATCAAAACGTCGGCCGAAGGGAACATTCTTTGACCTCGCAGCCACTCTTATCATTTTCTGTAAAGAACGGTCGTTCCTTCCTGCTCGGACCAAGAAGCCAGACAAGCTGCTTCTGGTTTTACCCCTTCCTATATGTGCCCTTCGCCGCGCTAGAGAGCACCTGCGAGAAGGGCGCGGGGTAATCGGCGGCGGCGGGGGGGGCAGGACCCTCGACACGGCGAGGGAGGGCGGCAGCTACCCGAGAGCGTCAAGCTGGCACCAGGAAGACAAGGGCGTCTAGGGGCGTCCTTGGAACAGCTGATCTTCCCGGAATGGCCGTGTGTGTCTGGGGGCTGGGTTTGTGCCTGGGTTGGAGGAGCCTACGAAGCCGACTTGGGGAAGGTGCGTGTCCTTAACGGAAGCTACAACAACGACGACAACAACAACAACAACAGCAACATAACAGCAACAACAATCTAGCCGCCACGCATACTGCGGTTAAAAGCGGAACCGTTCAGCGACTTAAGAATTTGCCGATTTAAACACAAACGAGTCGTGAGCTTCCAACGGCGCGCATTCGTTAACACCACATCGCCTCGTCGTTTGAGAATGCCCGTTCACGGGGCTTTTGTGTTGCTGTTTAAATAGTGTCTTGGCGTTGAAAATAGAGAGTGATTGCGATGTGTACGTAAGAAACAGCAAGCTTACCGGTGGATGCTCTCACTTGGCAGCGCTAAGCATCTGCTGATATCAAGACAGTGGAAGACCACAGGAGGACACTGCCGCGCAAAACAGTCGAAATAGGAAAGTCTATAAAGCAACAAGAGTGGAAAAAAGCTTCTTCCCACCAAGATGTACCCGACAACACGAAATCCTGCTGTCTACCTGCGTGCGCAAACCGTGACACCGTCGCACGCTTTGCCAGGCTCGACGGTGGCGTGCTGTGCAGTGAAGAGGCGCAACGAACGACCCCAGTTTGCGGCGCAAGAGCTCAACTTCAAAATGTTTTTTTTTTTCCTCTTTAGTACAAAATTATTTTATTTAAACTTTCAAGTACACAAGGCAATAAACTCTTCTGAAAAAGTAACCATGTTTTTTTAGTTTTCTTTGGGTGTTGAAACGGCAAAACGCAATTTTGCACAAATTTAGTTCTTTTTCTTCGTGATACTTAGCTGTACGGCCTAAAACGTTTTTTTTTTTTTGTGCAGTATATTTACAGGGTTGTCAATAAGAATTTTTACAGTCACCTCCAGCAACGAGATAGTTTGTAACAAAACCATCAAAAATGCTAAAATTATCATATATTCCTTATTTATTTATTTAATTGCTTCAAGCCAATAATCATGAGGCTTATTACATAGCAATCCAAATACCGTATGGTGTTTAGGCAAAAATATTCCACTGTTCCATAACTTATTTCTCATGGAGAAGTAAGATATATTTATGGAGAAATCCACGTCGCCTGACGCTTAAAAAAGTCCGCGACGCCTGACGTTTTTTTTTTTTTTTTTTTTTTTTTTTTTTTTTAATATTTAAATTAAACAAAACTGCACAAGCCCAACCACATTGCAAGTCGAAAACCGTGCAGGTTTTTTTTTTGTTGGGCGTTTCATAAAAAAAACAGGTTTTTCATGAATTATTGAGTGATGCCTAATTTCACGCTATTTTCAAAAGTTAAGACCGCGCTCAAGCCATCAAAAAAATGTGTTTCGTCAAAAAATATTTTAGGGCATGACTACGGACATTGCGGCAAAAAGCCATGTAATTTTTTTTTTTTTTTTTTTTTTGAATTCGAAGGTGGTCGAGCGCAACATCTGGGACGTTTGACATGGAATGACCCCTAGGTGACGCGGGCGACACGGGGAAAGGAATTCGGGCGCGGAGGAAAATAAAAGGCGGATTATCGAACTATCGCTGGCGCTGAGTCCCTCCAGCGGAATACGTGCGGAGGACACTCGAGGATAAAATCAAAACATAATACAAAATACACCATTCGTCGTGAAAGCGCCTGATAGTGGTTCGGGCCTACCATCGCGCTCGCACCTTTTTCTCTTGGATATGGATGGAAACTTACACCTTTTTTGGTCGCGTGTGTGGCGAGATGGTCCCACTTCTCCAGTTATTATTATCAAATATTAACCATGCATGTCGAGTTTACCTGAGATGGGGATAGAAAAGAAACATGTCCCTTCTACGTTTTAATGTTTCTCTTCTATGATCCCCGTGCTTTGAGATGAACCCCCTATGTAAGCAGACGACAACGGTTGTAGCGCCATCTCGTTAGTAAAAAAGGAAACTACTTACGGCTAAAGAAAGTAAGTAAAATAACTAAAGCTGTAAAAATTAAGCATGATGAAATAACTTGAACTTTAATCATATAATTGTAAAAATTGTAAATTTATGGCTGTTTGGAAAATAATAATTGAAATATTGTCTTCTTAGTTTGACAAGCAGCGCAAAATGATTTCTGCGGCCTGTCAACCCTGAAAAATAATTCTGACGCGCGACATCTATGGAGTGTGCTCGAAACTTCGGGCTGTGTCTATCGGAAAGGAAGCAAACGAGTGAAGCAATCTTTGGCAAATTTACATATCTGGAACTGAAGCGTCAACAGAGTGAAGAAGCCATGCTTTCGTTCCAAAGAACTCGCACATGAATTACTCGCGTACGTGACTCTTCAGACCCGTCGGTAAGTGCCGGTTACAACGGAGTAAGCCTAATGAGTTTGGTGGTCGTCGCGAGTCGCGATCAAGAGCCCTCGCGTCTGCTGCTCGCTAACCACCCTGGCATTTTTCTTCGTTTTGTTATGCTCCTGCCGAGTAATTTTCAGCTCGCTGCGACGTGCTCACTAAAAAAATTAGAAATCCACTCGCGGCGAAGACCGAAGGGAAATCGGGAATCTTACAGGTTCGCGATCAAACTCCATGCTATCTCCGATGGAATCAGCTAGCAGGTTGTGCATTTTTTGGTTTGTTAGTTCCTTCTTTGACTTGGTTAACGACCGATTCTCCTTTCGCCCTAAGCGACGGTTCGATGTCTCGCGCTCTCTATGTCCCTGACACAAATAGTAAACTTTCGGGCTCAGTTAGTTTTTTTTTTTTTTTTTTACTTGGGCGGAAAAAGGACTTGTCTATCTCATGCCACCGCCTCTGCTCGAGTGGAGGTCGCACCTCATTTCGTTGGATTGTGTCGCGTGGATATCGCAGTGTGACATATCTCTTCGACAAGACTCGCCCAAACACCTCCCAGACCCAAACCGACGGGAAGAAACCGAGGTGGCAGCAGAAGTGACGAGTTGTGTTTCGTTACGTGAAGGGACGCTCATAAATATGCAGCGTTAACGCCGTGCACGCCCGAAGTTCAGGGACGAGCGGTAAGGACGCGTCGCGTTTCTGAAGTTTCGAGTTACACCGGGAATTCTGCCTACGCTAGAGGCCTCGCGAAAGTTCCATAGATGCGCTGTGTGCTGTTAAGAACGCAGTTCGTTTCCTGCGGTTGCTTTTGAGATAAACTCGCATCGTTATTTTTTTTTTTTTTTTTTTGTAGGACTGCAGCGGTGACATGCCCGTCGGGACAGACTGACCGCTGTAAGTTTGCCGTTTGCCCTCGTCCTTTGAGTGATCTTTCGTCCGTTTCTGGACAAGCCTAACGATGTGGATGGTAGCTCAGCTCAGTAGCTAGTTTGTGCCAATTCACCGTGTGTGTGCTTGTCTAATTGACACTTGTTTGATTCTTTAACCTCTTCCGTCTTGGTCAAGTTTACTTAATTCCGACTAGATATGTTTCCTTTAGTCTAAAGTTACAGGTTAAGTCTGCATCAGTTTCAAACATAATACATTTGAAGTTGGTATCCTTATATTCATTTACAGCTAAATCGCAACTGATATCTGGTACCATGGATATAGCTTTACAATAGACCCTTTTCGGAATTCAGTCTGGCCACTTTGATCACTATCATCATCATCTTAGGAATGGCTTGTGTGTCATACTAATAGCAGCCTTGTGCTTACTGATGACAAAAGCAGCTGTAGATGCTCCGAAGCGGACGATGCGAGGCCTATACATTCGAGACGTTAGTACGATGCGACGCAGGAATTAAATACAAGAGCTGCGTAAGCGTTGATTTCTAACTCGGGTCCGGCCAATCTGTTGGTGGCACATATTCGACTCTAAAGCACCTTGATGTGTAAAAGTTTATCACACCTTTAATGTGGGTCTGTGCTTCGTCCTTACCGGTTGTATATTTGTTATCATTGAAACCGAGAGATCCAGAAAGAATGGTAAAGTAAAAACACATTCTCGACTGCTCTTGGCTAGCGAAAGTGATGGTGCCCGGAAAACAATACTTCAGACTGAGGGCCGATTACCGCCATTTGTACGGTAAAAGGTAAATTTTTATTTGAGCCACCACATGACACCAAATTTCGAAAAGGGTCTAATATATGAGCGCTTGCGGCATTTTTGGTCCTTGTATGAACTATTCATTCTCTGTGATATGTATTCTCAGGCATTGCATCTCTGCGTGTTAGAATGTTGTGCTTGCAGAAATATGCCAGGAGGCATCGAGGTTGAGTTGCTTTTTCGACCCCTATAGATGTTGCCGTCAGGGACGGAAGTTGTGGCTCGCTACAACTTCAATGCCAAGTCGCGAGAGGACCTGTCGTTTATGAAGGGAGACCTCATGACGATAGTGTCGGACACTCCCGTAAGTGACGGATCCTCATCTTTGATTCCTCTCGAGTGAATCTATGTGTGTCGTCGTGTAGCACACTTCTAACTGTTCCATTTCTGTCCTTTGTCTCTCCTTTCCTAACAGGACCCGAACTGGTTTCGGGCTAAACACAGCGATGGACGAGAGGGACTGATCCCGTTAAATTATATTCTCCGAAGAGCCGAAGTCAAGCTGAACTCAATGCCGTAAGTTTGGCCTTCTCCCCCGTTTGCACATTTGCCTTTCTGAAGCCCAAACCCAAATTATGGTATTCTAGCTTTGGGAAAAAGAAAGTAGCGACTTCACGATGTAGCTTTTTGCAGTGATTCGACAAGGTCAAGAGTTGAGCCAGGTAATATATTTTAAAAAGATGCTTCGTCAATTTCTTGAGCTGCCCAAAAAGACTTTTCTGAAATCCCGGCTTTGCTTTATCCAGTATACTATTTAGTATCTAGTAACTCAAAAATTGTTATTGAGAGTGTGGCTAATGAAGGCGAAGCCAAAAACCAACATTCGAATTTTCGATCTTTCCAATAGCGCAGTATCACTAGCAGGCACGAGGTAGCAATCTAGAAAGCAGTCTATCTCTCACCTTTTTTTTTTCTTTCTGCTGAGCGAGTACTGAAGTGAGCTTCGACGGCATTTATTTTACGCCATCAAACTTCCTGTAATCACTTTGGAGCAATTGCTACTGCCCAAACAACGAACCGGTGCCTGCCACAGGCATTACTTTTTCAGTGTTGCCAGTAGGGACGCAATTAAAAAACAACTGTGAGGACCAAAATTGAACATTGTATAACTGAGCGAAAACACATTTGAGTTACTAGAACAGCCACATCTACTGGTGTGTTGGGCCAATTTTGAGGCACAAAAAAAAAAAAAGGGATAAAGCACTTAAAAAGAAGAAAAAAAAGAAAACTGAGTTAGGGGTGACTTACTATATAACTTTTAATCTCCCAGTGATGTGATTGCTGCGCCAATTGCGCCAAACTGCGCCAAGGGGCTAACCCTGCTACATCTTGCTACATTTTGCCAATATATGGCTAATCTGCGCCAAGCCTGCGCCAAAGGTCCAATTTCGGTCGCCTTTCAAAACCGAAACTAAACTGAGAACCGTAATTGAGCATGCGTGAGCTATAGGTGGCGCAAGCGGCCGCCCGACACAAAGTACCCGGCATCAATCCTCCATCCGGTCTTGCATGGTTTTTGCCGCCGTCTCGCGTTTCACGCCCTCGCCGCCCTCGCCGTCACGGGAATCTCATCTCGCGTCTTCTTTTTACATTTTTTTTCCGCGGGAATGTGCGGACGCTCCGTCGCTAGTGTGCCGGGTGCCAGCTATGCCATCATGCTGTGAAACAAAACCACGTTTTTGCGCGGCGAGAGTTACTTTGTGAGCTGAAACGCTCGCGCGACCACTGGGTCACCGTGGTCGTGCGACGTCGGGTGTTGCCGTCCCCACGTCGCTACAGATATGGCGCTTTCTAAACTTGTTCATCGACATTCCTCTTCTTCTAAAAAATCCATCTTTAACTCAAAGACTGCTCGTCAAAATATTTATTACCTAGATTTCTCTCGGCGGGCTATCTTTCGAGAGGGACCCCGCTACGTGAAAAATCTGCCGCCAAAAAAACGTTGAGGAGAAGTGAGCTGAAGCAAAGAAGGCAATGTCTGCACGCTGAACCCACGCAGCGCGCTTGTTTGTCTCGAGTTCAGTCCTTGCCCAGAGCGCTCCAAAAGCTTTTGGCCCTGGCTCACGATGTCATGCCTCGATGCGCTTAGGTTCTGTTTTTCTTTCTATTTAGCTTGCACCTCGTTTGCCGGCCTGGCAAGCACGCGCCGCTGGACTGTTTTATTTTTTATTTTTTTTGTTGTTGAGTGCTGGACAGTTGTATTTTGCACACTATTTTGGGATTCAGTTGGCGACGGAGCGGAGTGGCATTGTTTCGGTTTCGAATGAACAGCCGTTGTCTCTGCTCGCGCGACAAAGCACGTGCCACTGCAAGCTTGCTGAAGTTGCCCTCAAGTGCATGTGAACATGACGGCACGACAGAGCACCAGCCGGGGCGCTTGCGATCCATTGTTTTGTGTTCGCTTACTTTTAACGAAAATCTGGCACGTCAGGAACCAGGAACCAGTAAAACGGTGGCGAGCGTTCTTTTCTAAATTTCTCGGCAACGCCTACAACACTGTACACTTGTGGGATGTCTCTGCAGTAAAAACAGAAACAGCGAGTTCCGTCATAACACAGCACGAAGTGTCCTTCGTTTGTCCAGCACTTAAAACAAATATTTTTATTTTTGTAAGAATATTTCCTCCAAAAGCCACTTTTTCTGCTCCGAAACACTGTTTTGGCTGCTCCAAAAGCCACTTTTGCTGCTCCAAAACACTATTCTGGCTGCTCCAAAGGCTTTTTTGCTGCTCCAAAACATTGTTTTGGCTGCTCCAAAAGGTGCTCCAAAATGGCCCAGGCCAATCACATCACTGATCTCCTGAATTCGGTTACCACAATGTAATTGGCCTGTATTTAAAGTAAACCACTTTTATTTCGGAAAGACTGACAACAGTTGGCACGTGGCAAACCCCTGTTATTTGTGAAAGGCATTGTGACCTCATAATCTGGCATTTGGGAGTCATCTGAAATGTGAGCAAGGGTCACCTGCCACCGTTGATGGTATGGACTTACTACTTTTGCTAGTTTTCCTTTTTCCCTTCCTCTTCTGCTACTCTTCTGCTTTCCACGGGCAACAGAAGGTGGAACTTTGGCAAAATTTTAATTTGCAATGGCCGATTATGTTGGTCGTACTAATAACACGGATAAAAAACAACCTTTACACATTACCGTAAAATACCGAGGAAGCGCCCATACCCGTACAAGCGCCCACTTTTAACATTTTTGAAATTCGAAAATTTGGGCAAGTACACATCAAGTGTACTAATAAGCGCCCACAGTTGGCTTTACGCGTATTTCGATAAAATGGGGGTAGGCGTTTCTTCGGTATTTTACGGTATATTTTCTGTAGCTACATCCAGACTTCCACAGCTTTTATGGCGACAGCTGTTATTGGCGAGCTTTTGGAGCAGGTTCTGGTATATGTATGGTGTGCGTTATTTGCACAGATTCACTGCAAAACCTCGCCAACAGACTCGCAGAAAAGTTCCTTTATTTTATTTTTTACACCTCGTCAAAATCAGGTGTGTATCTGGGTCCCCTTGCTTTTCAAGTAGAGAAGTCTGGAGGATGCATGCTCCTATGCATGGAAATGCTTCCTCCACTCGCAACAAAAATGGCTCCGGCTCTCAGTTGTCAGACACTTATATTTTTTGTTTGATTTGATTTTTGCATTTCCCAGGCTCAAAAATATTTCTGCAGATTCTAGAGCAGGGGTCTCAAACAAGTGGCCTAATGGCATACTCCATAATAATCTTGTCGCCGCCATGTTTCCGGTTGAAACATAGCTTTGCTTTTATAACGCATTCACATAGTTTGTACTATTGTTTTTATCGGCCTTAGGCTACGTTTTAATTTTTACTTTGCAGCTTTTTGTCACATTAATCACCTGTACAGCAATTCTGCCACCAGGCTGCAAGCGCGATCTCTTCACCCGATAAAGAGCGCACCTCGGCTGCACAAACTCTCGCCACTCAAGAGCAACTTTGAAAAATAAAGCTATGAGCTCGGGATACTCGCCTTCAGAAAATGTCACCATTAAGATTCAAATATTTTCTTGGACTGTTGTAAAAATCGTCAGGAGAGTGAAAACTGGCATGTGAAGAGATTTTATTTTTGAAAACATGTTGAGCTCGATTAATTATTGAGTGAATTGAGCAACGAGAATGGCTGTGTGCTTGCTCTCTTGTTCTATTAAAAATGTGTGCATGTTGATGGGGTGGTGCCATTTTATTATTTTTATCACGTTAGTGCCTAAAAAACCACAGCTAAGATTTGACTGGCAGAACTGCAAATTTACAAAAGGCGGAGAGCATGAAGTCCCTTCTTTATAAAATCTCTTGACCCGGCCCTCTCTGCCTTACGTTCGCCCTCGACTTTTTGGGTGTGTGCTATCTGGCCTCCACACTAAAGTCAGTTTGAGACCCCCGCACTACTCAAATGCATATCAAGGCATTGATTGTCATAAGCTAAAATTAAATGCTCACACAGCGCTCGAGCATCATTTAAATAACGTCACCGCAGGGACCACGAAGCTTGACAAAATCCCGGGGATCTTGTCACCAAGTTTTGCGAAAGGGAGACTGAAAGAAAATGTTGCATGATGACAAAGAAGCTCCTTGGCCAGCGGTATTGTGCGCAAGTATGCTTGGGCCTCACTGGTGCCCGTAAACTTGCGTAAAGTGAGGAACATTCCTATCCAACGTAGTTGCATGACCCTTTTAAACGGTGGGTTCTATGAATCCCCTTCGAGAGTCTGGCGCTGTATCTTAGAAGCTCGGAACTACTCCATAATGGCGGAATAACACACCGCAGAACGTGCAAGTCATTATGTGAGATGGTGAACGTCGGAACGTAGCCAATGCTAGGAGATGGCGAGCCGATCAAATAACGCTGAAAGCATAATGGCGCCGCATTCCTCACTTTTTTCTGCGGGGTGTGTTACTGCCTACCGATACATAAATGCAGAAAGTGTGTCGTGACTTTGTGGATTTAGTCTGCCGTTGCGCGGGAATTCCACAGGTTCTAACGGGGCAGTCTTTCGAAAGGGTGTGGGTGGGGTAGGGATCTTGTTGGGTGACATGGCCTTCCTCCGACCTTCTCTGCAGATGGTTCCACGGAAAGATAACGCGCGAGCAGGCCGAGTCGCTGCTGAGCCCCCGAGAGGACGGCCTCTTCCTTGTGCGCGAGAGTACCAACTACCCGGGCGACTACACCCTGTGCGTCTGCTTCCGTGGCAAGGTGGAGCACTACCGGGTCATCTACCGCGAAAACAAGCTCACCATCGACGAAGAGGAGTACTTCGAGGGGCTGCCCCAGCTCATTGAGGTAAGCTGCTACACCGCTCGTCTGTAAGACCGTCTGGCGCCGATGAATGCGGGTGTCTCGTAGTATTCATGCTGGGTGTCTCGCAATGCGGGTGTCCTGTAGTATCCATGGTGGCTTCTCTGTCTCCAGAATAACATTCTTCAATTCGTCATATGTAGGTCTATACTTCATTTGCTCATAGGCCAACAGTGCGGTGAGGGCTAACTGTTCATTGGACAAGTCATACATCTTTCTTTCGCCGCATGATGTCGATCTCGTCCATACCCATGTGCAGAAAGCGGGGTCGGGTGATGAAAGAAAGGCGGCTGATTAGCCAGCGAGTGCATAGCTTCCATCACTCTGTCAGCTTAGGGTTGAACATGGTACGATCGGGTGTTTATTGTTGGGTATCTGTATAGTTTTTCTTCTAAAGTTGTTCTGCCTTATTGCACTGTAAGTAGAGGGCTTGTGAGCTGTTTATTTTTCTAAGGTTAATACCCTCAAAGCTTTTTCTGCCACGTGAAAGGACTGGCTAGCAAAAAAGTGGTAGAAAACAGACAAGCTAAATTCGTGAGAGGTTTAGCTCCTCGTGTTCAAGTCTGAGTCTTTGCGATTACTGTTTGAGTACAAAGCCTGTGATGAAGGATGGAGTACTGTAGGACATGCAGTGTGTTCCCAAGCTCCTGCCTGCGCAGGAACGAGTGATCACACTGACATGGCTTGTGTTATACATATACAACTTATACTATAAATCTAACAATGAATTCAATCTGAGTTCGACTGTATCTTCTGTATCAGCTGTTAATCCCGTAGCTTGCTCTAGAATCGGCCGGAAAAATCGCCGCCCAGAGGTATCTATCTCAACTTTTCCTCATGGGTGGATTTTAGTGGTGGATTTTAGCTCTTGAGATTTAGACCGTATAGAAGCGCCGAAGGACAGGGACAAAGTAAAGGGTGTAACAACAACACTGAGCTCTCTGTGTTGTTGTTACGTCCTTCACTTTGTCCCTGTCCTTCGGCACCTCTATCCGGTCATGAACCAACTAGCCCAACTAAGCATTTTGAAATTTCGAGGCACAACTTTTTTTATGTGAGAAATGAGTACAACACCCTTGACATTGCCAATGGCAGACACTGACATAGATGAATGAGTTACCCGAGGGTTATGCCCCCATTAGATGCAGGAAGCATATGATGGCGACGCCTGGTTTCGACCGAATGTGGTCGTCCACTGGCTGCATCTACCGGGAAATGGCGGTACAAGCACGACCCTCGGTTAGCTAGGTTTTCCTCTTCAGCCATCCCTGTCGGGGGTGTTGTTCTCTTTTAACGAAGAATGTGTTTTATGCGTCGTTTTCTATGAGGAAATTGTCATGACCAAGTTTCATAACTAGCGTCATGAATGAGTGACACACTGGGAGGGTTGCAGACGTTAACATTCAGTATAATCTTTATAAAGTTTGAGCCCCCGGTAGGGTTCGAACTTGGTTCGGTGCAATGGCAGTCGGATGCCATAGTCACTGAGCCACTAGCGCAGCTGGCCTGGATAGTTTAGTGTTTTTATTTGAATGCAAAAGTTTGCCAACAGTGGCGAGTTGAAATAAATAATAATACAAAAAGATAAATAAATAATTAAGTTATATTAAAACAATAAAAATAAGATAATGAAGTGAAAATAAATGAATAAAAACGAAAGAAAAATAGATTAAAAAAAGAATGAATAATCTAGCACAAACAACACACGGAGTGTGGTTTGTGTGGGACACATTCTGTGCTTCCTTTTGTCGGCATGATCCCTTTGTTAGCATGCATGGTTTTTTTCAATGAACGAAGCTACGTCGGGAGTACGCAGCCATAGCCTTGGCTGTTGAAACGCGCTTTTCACATCTGAGTGAGCGAAGAGTCAAAAGATAAATGAAAAAGAATGAACGAGAGGAAGAGAAACCAGAAGAGGGAGAGGGTGGTAAGGGATGCTGCACGCTATGTTCCGCTGAGTTGCGTGCCAACAGACGGTGCTAATAGTCTCGCTGGCCAACTAGCTGCCTGGGTTGCCGCCTACATGGCCTGCTTCATCGCCGTTTGCATTGCCTGCTTCGCCATTGCTTCACCCTCCCCTCCCGCTCCTCACCCTGCTTGTTCTGCAGTGGGCGAGAAAAAAGGATTAACGCATGTTCTTTTTATTCATGGTATATTACCGACACAAATGCCAGGAGAAATAAGGAAGACTATGTACACAACAGTCTGGAAAATACAGGAAACAATCAAATACCATATTTTCCGGGCTATAGTCCGCACCCGGTGCACAGTCCACACGCCGTGCAGTCCACACGTGGTGCTTAGTTGACATGAAAATCTTCTCATACATGGCACATCTAGACAAATGTCTGCTTTTTTAGCTCATAAAGAAGCTTGTAGTATACATAAATAATCATTAACATACTCTTTCATTCACAAAATTTGTCACGTCTCTTCATAATGAACAATCTTGAAAAACAATATTACTGTATAGGCTGCATGCATAAATTGTCCACACAGCCTAAAATTTTAACTTTTAAACATGTGTAGTCTGTGGACTATAACTTGAAAAATATGGTAGATAACTTAAAAAAAATAAAAAGAGAGGACATAGTACAACATGGGACAGATCAACAAAGAAAGGCACAACACCGGGTATATGACATAATCCCTCATTATAATGAAGTCAACGGGACGGCACAAAAATTCAATATAAGCGGTAATTCTATAAAAGAGAGAGAGTAAAAAAAAAATAGTGTTAGTATCCTTGAAGGCAACCCGAAACAGTGCGGAGCACTCGGACCATATATTTAATCAAACAAATTTTGGTTATGAAGATCTCGCAACAGCTTTACTGAGTAAAACAATAATTTAGTGGAGTTTGCCGATAATTTCATCCGGGCATCAATTCTCCTCGAACTGCTCCAGGCATTGCAAGAACAGTGTCATCGCCCCTGCATTCCACTTTGTTTCGGAGCAGCCGTAGGATGTTTCACGTCTGTGTGGTCGTCGGCGTTTCCCGAGGTACCCTTCTGACGTCGCTTCGTGTTTTCCCTGGCTGCACGCAAGGACTTACGATCACAGCACCCGTGTGGGAACGTCCGCATCGACAAGCACAAACGAATCAGTTATTCTCGGTGGCTTTGCCAACATGTTTTCACACACTCCCGTGGAGATCGTTGCAGCTATCGAAATCTTGCGTCGGCTTGACAAGCATGCTCGCGAGAAAAAGTTTGACGTGTGCAAAGCAATTAGCGACCTTTCATCTTTGGGTCGTGGGTGCGTTTCTCCTGCATGAAAATCTTCTCGGACCCGTCCAATACGCCTTGTTTGTTCTGTAAAATGGTGGACAGTGTCGAACAGCCGATGCCAAAATGTAGAATTCTTTGGCGGTTTCGAACTTGGGCCGGCACTTTTCTCAATCTTGCAGATCTAAGTGACTTTCGGTGACCACTCCTAATCTCCTATACGATGCACACGTGCATGTAATACGCCGGAGGCGTGCCCGTGCAGGCGCGCACGTCGGGGGGATCCTGAAGGAATGACCTTCTCCGGGTTCCATCACTCCCTTGACCCGATTCCGACAGGAGCTGGGCAGCGTCGGCCGTGGGTGCCGTGAGTAGCGTCAGAACATTGATACGGCTGCCGCTGCTCCCTGCCCATGTCCCCTTGTCGGCACATCGACATCGGAAGCGGCGCTCTGCCAGCTCTGTGCGCTCTGCCATCCATCACTTGTTTACTTCGTTTTTCCAGTCCGCTGTTTGCCTCGGTAGAGAAGGGGGAGGGATTGCAAAGGTCTCCGTGCGCCTCCGTGCAGGCTTGCATGCTTTTGGCACCGCGGCCTTCGTAATAAGCGTGGTTGGCCACTGGTACACTTAGAATAATCCAGATAAAAATGCGTGCATTTCGGTCAGGACCACGTTAACTTCGATAAAAGGGATAATTCGAAAGCAATTTCGTTATAACAAGGGATCACTGTATGTAAGAAAGATATTCATGTAAATACGTTTCAGTAGTTATGTATGTCATCCTCTGAATGCTCTGCCTTGAAAGCATAAGATATATGTACAAACTTCACGTTTTCTGCGCCTTTCACACTGCAGCAGATTTTTCGAGGTTAGGTTATTTTTTGGAGATCCCCGTTCACTAGGCACAGATGCCAAAGGAGATGTTCATTTCAGAACATTTGGAGTGTGTCTTCCGAATGCTCTGCCGTGAAAGCAGAGATTCTGCAGCATGTTTTCTCTGAAGATGAGGCTCTCAGTACACATCTTGAAGTTCTCAAGTTTTTCCACCAGTTCAAAGTAGCTGACTGTAGGCACAGACAATATAACATTCGAAGAGTTTCACTTTCGGATATGCATTAAACGAATGCAACCGAAACGAAACTGCCTACCTCTCGCTCTGAAAATATCTTGGGAAATGGAAGAACGAAACCTCCTTTGACTGGCCAGAGCTCTTGCTTTTATGAGAATATCCGAGCGCACAATGTCAAATCTCTGCTTGCCGATGAAACACTAAGATCAAGACCGATCCGAGCAAATGAATGCGCACAATGATGACTGTTGAACCGTTGCAGCCAGCGCCGCTGTGCGATACCAGTTCATTATACTACCAGCCTCTGCGCGGAAGCAGAACCATGCGAATTTGGTGGTGGAAGCACGAACAATTCTCCTGGGGTTTCTCTAACATAAATTACGTCACGATGGCCATGAATGGATACATGAACACAGCTCAATGGCTATGAATGAATAGATGGATATAGGAGCACTTTTATGAATTGGGTGGTATCTCTAGGCATGCCGTCACCGAGCTTTCAGTGAACGCCACTAGCTTCGCCTTGTAACTTCGGAAGGTAATGTTCTCTACTAAAATTCACCTTTGGGGAAAATTTGAGAAAGCAACGTGCAGGTTCCAAGTTTTCTGGTCGACCCTGGGATTCGTAATGCACAATATGTCGTTGCTCCTTATAGAATCCTAGTGAGTCGGTCTGCGTTCACTTGATGGGACTATGAAACAATTTTCTAGCTTTCTTCGATTTCCAGTTGGACTTTATCCTCAAAATTAGTAATACTGTAAACTACTTTTTTTATGTTCTCGTAATCTCATGGTTTAGCTAACGTCAATCTCTACGCTCTGCCAGCTTGACGACATCCCTGCCCTGTGTGCCGGTTGTCGTTTCAGCACTACGAGCAGGATGCGGACGGCTTGTGCACACGTCTGTCCCAGTCGGTGCCCAAGCAGGACGGAGAGATGGCCATCGACCACCGGGCCTTTGAGATGGCTGGCTGGGCCATCAAGAAGCAGGACCTGCAAGTCATCGAGAACATTGGCAAGGGGGAATTTGGAGGTGCGTTTCTTTCTACGCATCGCCGTTTTCCACTTGCTGTCATACCTCGGCCAACCTCACTCATGAAGGGCCCTCACTCACCCTCTTCTTCTTAGGTGAGGTATGGGTGAGTGAGTTTCTGAACCAGGAAAATTCTTGAGTGTGAGGGTTAGTGAGGGCTGTGAGGCTGGGACGACTGAGTGTGTGACGGGTATGAGTGCATGAGGCCATGAGTGCATGAGGACGGGGAGTGCGTGAGGACCTCGAGGGCGGTGAGTGTGTGAGGGGTGTGAGTGCGTGAGGGGCGTGAGGGCGGTGATCGGCGTTAGAGACGTGAGGGCGCTGAGTTGCGTGAGGCGTATGAGTTTGTGAGGGCTGTGAGGTTCAGTGAAGGTGAGTGAAGGGTTGAAGGTGAGTGTGACTGAGAAGGTGAGGGTGAGTGAGGGGCTGAAGGTGAGTGTAGCCAACACCTCCTAGAAGAGAAGGCCGTAGCGCTCCGAGTGGGCACGTCACAATGGTGGAGGAAGGAAGGCCATGGCGCAACTATGTGAGAAAATGCCGCTGCCGACGTGTATCGGCGTATTAATGTTCATGCGCATTTATCCGACATTAATACACGTTTTAAAGCGCAGTCTTGTACAATTTATTATATATATATATATATATATATATATATATATATATATATATATATATATATATAATATAAACGTAATATACAACGCGTTACCAAAGTTGAAAGTACCAAATTTATATTTTTGATTATCCCCGTAACCACGGGACTAAGCGCAGTCCCGCAGCTCCCCACACTTTTCGAATGAACCGGCTCCGAATTTCCAATGCAACATCTTCCCCCGAACGGGCTTTGATTCTGGTAAATTTACGTTGCGTGTGAGCTGCTGACTGCATGCTAAGGTATGCTGCGACATTTCAGTAGGAAAAGGAACCGAAAAAAAATCCATTCATCGCCGCTGGGAGGCAGCGCACACGAGGAAGAGATGGGTCGACAATGTTAAGCCTCTCGTCCCACACTGCTGGTGCTGCTCGCGTGCGTGTGCGTGTGTGTGTGTGGTTTTGTCCTACCCATCGTTTTTTTTTTTGTGTCATCACCGCAGTCTCGGGTAGATTTTTTTTATGTGTGTGTTCTCTTGATACTACGGCATTTACGTGGATTTGCGAAACAAGTCCTGGCTACGGTTTGACTGACGTGTGTGGCAACTAGTCAACGATGACACTGGCCTATGACCTCTCTAGACAGAGAAAGACTTCTTGAAGTTTGTGTTAAAATTTTTTCGTGATGGATCGTGTGGGACGTATGGATACGATCGACAGGTGAGGATCAACTTATTTACGGGCTTTCTTGGTCATGTAAGACGCAAGTAAAGTGCTGCAATCGATTCTTTTTTTTTTTAATATCGTGATAATGGAGTTTTGTTCTTCGTCATTATCCATTTGCTATTGCGTCGACATTTATAATTATGCTTGGTAATATTCTAGTTTTTACTGGAAGGTAAATAACAAGTTCGTGTGATTATTGAAAGTGCGTTGTTTGTGCTTATGTGTTTATTTATACTAATGTTATTTTATTGCCTTTACCACGTTTATACTAGAATCTTAACTGTATTAGGGTAATTGTATTATTGTATACAGAATAGGTTATATTTTGTTCTTAGGCACCTCGAGCCCATAGGTAGAATTAAATTAGTTGACTGTAAATAGTAAGTTTAGTACCCCTGCCACACGGAAAAGTTAATATATATTGATTAAATAATACGGGATTTAATCAGCTCGCTGTTTTGAGTGATTATATGAGCATCGCAAGCTGATTTGTCGGCCCCACATTTTCATTCGATCGAAATTACGTTACTTTTGCCATGTGGCTGGGGTATGATGCAAGAATTCAGTGACTGCACGCGATAACATCGCTTACATGATCGTAAGTGACATTCCTCTAGCCGTGTCCGCTTTGACTACGTCTACCTGATTTTTCAATGTGACCTGTTTTGCTGTGTTTAATCACTGCGTGTCTTGCCATTTTGTCGAAGTATTTCTGTGTAAAATATGCATTCCTGCAGCAATAATTGCGTGAATCAATGTTTTCTCTTATACGCCTTCCTCGTACCGCTTCATACCGATCACTTAGCGGTGTAATATTTTGCCCGTTTAATGAAATGTCTTCGAGACCCATTGCTATGTGCAGCTTTCAATTTAGCTAATAAGACACGCTTATGTGACTAAAAGCACGTTACGACGATCGATCCACGCGCGTTGGCTTCACTTCGCTGTGCGCCCCTGATGGCCTTCTCTTCTAGGAGGGGTTGGTGTATCTTTGAGGGTGAAGTTGAGTGAGGGGCTTAGGTAAGTGTGGCTGTGAGGGTGAGGGAGAGCGACCTAAAATGCCGACCTCTGCTTGCCGTACCGTGCGCTCACGATGCATAGTAACTTGCATATGTGACATGGCAAACAGCAGCTTAGAAAAGTATCAAATTTTTCTTTGGAATTCAGATGTCCTGCTTGCCAACTACAAAGGACTAAAAGTGGCCGTGAAGAAGATCAAGGAATCCGGGAAGAACATGCTCATTGCAGAAGCTTCACTCATGACGTGAGTGTCTTAACTTCTGTACCTGCTTATTTTTTTGCTGCTTTGTTACCACGTCATACCATTCTCTCTGCTTTGGTTCCTACATCATGCTGTTGTGGAGGGATCAGTGGCCATGTGTCTGTGAGCGCTCCACAGCGAGGAGTGTGTCGAGCGAGAGCTTGTGCTGCAGAGCAAAGGGATGATAGGTTCAATCCCTAGCCCTGCGTCTTTTGTTGTGTAATCACGACTCTGTGATATGATGCCAAGCTAGCAATGGCACTGCACTGACTAAATTTCCCACATACATAACTGCAGAGACACCAGATGCCAACTGGGGCCGACTTATTTTCTGCTGTCTAAACAAATGCACGACACAATTACTCTATGCTTTTCCCACAACACGATGTGAGATGGCAGAAAATAATGTTGAGAAATCACCGTCCAAGTTTTGAGTTGAAGAGCCCGCACAAATAGGCAACAACTTGCTTCCGGCGGTTTAGGTTCTTGACGAGGCAGTTAGGCCTACATGGTTCCTCTCCTCGCACTTGCAGTTCCCTGAGGCACCCGAACCTGGTCCAGCTGTTGGGCCTGGTAATAGAGGAGTCCTCCCTGCAGATAGTGACGGAGTACATGGCCAAGGGATCGCTCGTCGACTACTTGCGCTCCCGGGGACGACTCCACGTGACCCGGCTTGACCAGATCAACTTCGCTACGTGAGTGTGGCACCGCCTCCCTCTTTCCCAGCCCAGGCTATCTTCTTTCATGCAACTAGTGCATTTTGCAAGTCTTGTGCATTCTATTAACCTCCTGTCACTGTCTGCTGTAAAAAAGCTCTCTGTGTGAGTTCTGAAGCTGGCATGGGATATGTCCCTCTATGCTGGGGCAAAACTGCTACCCGAGTTTTTCTGTATAGACATTTGCAAGCAGCCACGCTTCGAGATCGTCTGGCCACTGTAAATGGAAAAACACTTTGTTTTTGCACCATTCTGGAAACTGAGGGTACGCCTCAGCAATGCTTCACTATCGGACGATCTACCCACAGCAGCAGGTATGCTTTGTCTCATCCTACGATGGACTAAAGGCCAAAGCCACGGGCCCCCAGGTCCAATCCCGTTCCACGCTATACTACTATGACACGCTTAACCTTGATTAGGGGTGGACGAATAATGCTCTAAATCCAAAAGCGCCGCATCATTTTTATAGCTTTGGCGCTGCAAAGAGCCTACCTATATGTCGTGGCTTTCTTTGCAATGTAAAATTGTTGTCACTCGGTGCTCTTCGATTCGAGCCACTGTTCGATTCGAGCCACTCAGTGATTTGAGACGCGGGATCCGAGACGTGCATCAAAGCGAAATACTGCACGAATTTTTAACGGGCTTGTGATTGGATCTGGCGGTTCGTAGCTTTTGCCTTTAGTCCATCGTAGGGTGAGACGAAGTATAGATAGCGGCGCTTAGAGTCTGTACTTGCAAATATTTGTAGAATGGTGACAGTAGTCCTCACAGAGCTCCCAAACTCGTTTTTGTCAAAAGGATCTCCCTGCAGTGGGCACATGTTTTAGTAGGTGTTTGGTGAGTGGTGTCACCACGGATGCCGAGCCATGCGAGCTCTTCTGCCCACACCAGGCTGTGCGTGGCTTTCCTGTGTCTGGGGAAAAGGGCATCTGGTGGTTGATACCAGCCTGGAGTAGGTTTGGACCCTTTGGGGGCCCCCCGGTGAGGCAATACACCACTTCGGCCCCTGCTTCTCGTAGACGGGTGTCCTGGCTTGGCCCGACCAAGATGATTCAGTCAGTCGCCTTTCTTTTCCTATCCTACCTTTGCCTTTTCTCTCTTTTTGCCCTTCTTTTCTATTTCTCCTTCTTTGGCGGGAAGGGCTAACCTTGGGTTGCGAGAGCTCTCTTAATCCACACTAAGTTATAGCATTGCTGGAGTAGCATACTGGAACAAGCCAAACCTGTTATGAGATGCTACCTACCGTAAAATACCGGGCAAGCGCCCACTCAAAATTTTGAGATAATCATGAAAAAATGGGGGATGGGCGCTTTTCCAGTCATCAGTTCTACATATAAATGCACTGTGCATATTTTCTCAGATCTTACAAATTTGGGTATGGGCACTTAATGTGGTATGGGCGGATGCACGGTATTCTACGGCAGGGATTCTCAAACTTTGTGGTCTAGCGAAACCCCAGGAAGCCTCAGAAACGGTCGCGGAACCCTCCCCCCTCCCCCCCTCTATGTTTGCCCACCGAAAAGCAACAGAGGCACAATTGTAGACAATTTTGGTTGTGTTGCTTCCCCAATATCCCCGCCATATCAATCGCGATGTAGTACAAAGTGAGATGAAGGCGCTTTGCATGGTCCTGCCGCGCACCCTGTGGCGTGGGGGGGGGAGGAGAGGGGGTTGCAATATGGGTGTTCGCGGAACCCATGAGACTAGCTCGTGGAACCCCTGTGTTCCCTGGAACCCAGTTTGAGAACCCCTGTTCTACGGTATCGCCCTTCCCCGCAGGGGGCACCTGTGAAAGCAGGTGTTTGGAGAGTGGCGCCTCCACGGACCCCGAGCCATGCGGGTTCGCCCGCCCACGTCTGACTGTGCGTGGCTTACCCGTGTCTGGGGAAAAGGGCATCCTGGTGGTTGAGCCGAGCCCGGGGTAGGTTTGGACCCTTCGGGGCTCCCCGGGCAAGGCAATACACCACTTCGGCCCCCGCTTCTCATAGACGGGAGTCCTGGTAAGGCCCGGCCAGGATGATTCAGTCTAGTCGCCACTCCTTCTACTATCCCCTCCCTTCTTTCACCCTTGTCTCCTCCTTCTTTTCACTCTTCTCATTTCTCTTCTTTCCTTTTCAACTTCTTTGGCGGCAAGGGCTAACCTTGGGTGGTGACAGATACTCTCGTCCAGATCCACACTTGGTTATAGTTTCTGGGTAGCGCTAATAGAGTAATGCTTCCAGCAAAGCCATATTTGTTATGGGGTATTACCTATTCCCTCGTTGGGCTCCGTGGTGGGCGGCGCGCCACAGATTCCGAAAACCCTTTGCCTTTTTATGGCGCCCCTCTCTTCTCAACCCCGAGCAGAGCGACCCCCGAAAAGGGTTCGCCCCGCTCCCCTTACTTTTGAAAAAGCTAATGAACCTGAAAAATATCCTCGATTTCTTGTAGTACACTCCGCAAGTGACACTGTGCATTTGTCAAAAGTTTCTCCCTTTGTGATTGCAAAGCATCTAGAACAAGTGGTTGGAAAATCTTATAAGGCAAAGAAGCTTGCTGGAGACCTCCTTGTTGAGGTAGAAAACAAGCCACAGAGCACAGCACTCTTGAAGATGACAAGCCTGGGAGACTACCCGGTTACTGTCACCCCCCACCGTACCCTGAATACTGTTCACGGTGTCATCTCAGAAGATGACCTTCTCGAATGCAGTGAAGACGAGATCCTCGAAGGTCTTCGCAAGAGTGCTGTCGTTGCTGTTCGACGAATCACCTTAAAACGTGATGGACAAGAAAAACCAACCCGCCATCTGATACTCACATTTGAGCTCCATGCCCTTCCATCCACCGTGAAGGCAGGATATTTGAGCTGCAGAGTCCGCCCTTTCATTCCAAATCCTCAGCGGTGTTTCCGTTGCCAAAGTTTTGGGCATGGTTCCCGAAACTGTCGCGGCCGAGAAACGTGTGGAAAGTGCGGTGGTACTGACCATGTAGCGGACATCTGTGAAAATTAACCGAAATGTGTAAAATGTAGCGGAGCTCACCCTGCTTTCTTTCGCTCTTGCCCAAAATGGAAAGAGGAAAAAGACGTCTTGACTTTCAAAGTGAAACATAACCTGAGCTACCAAGCAGCCAAAGAACAGCTTGCCTTTCAGGCAAGGGGTTCTTATGCCCAGGCAGTGTTGAGGGGACCTCCACTGTCTACGGCATCTGTGGAGACACAGACTTCCCTGGAAGACCTGTCCTCTCCACAGGGGTCCCCTTTTGAACTTTTGAAGGTGACGCACACTCAGTCACCTTCATGTTCTAAGGTTGCTGTACCCTCCAAGGAGGGTACCACCCCGTCCCAGCTATCAGGGGCGCCATCAGCGGCCCTAGCTGGTCCTTCTGGCAGGGGTCGAGGGCTCCCTCCTCGTGCTTCCTGCAGCAACCAAAAGCCCAGGCGGACAGAACAACCTCCATCGCCCAAGGGCCCAACGCTCTCGCCGGAAGAAAAAATGGACGAGAGCCTACCGCTCTCTGAAGACGACCAGTCTCTTCCCGAAACAGAGTCTCTTCCTCTGGTCTCCTCTGAGGTTGTAGGACGACCGAAGGACACTGCCAAGAAAAAAACAATCCGCCGTGTTGAGGCACCAAAAGCCCCATAAATTTGTGTCTTAGTCTTCTCTGGTATGTATATATATATATACATATATATATATATATATATATATATATATATATATATATATCGATCTGACTTCCTTTTAGAATGCCAATGTCTCTTTTTCTTCAATGGAACTGTAGAGGCCTCCTTCCGAATTATGACGATGTGAGCCAGCTGCTAGACGATCATGCCCCCATTGCATTTTGCTTGCAGGAAACACATCTAAAAGCCAGCCACACTAATATATTAAAGTACTTTCAGGTATTTCGCAAGGACCGGATACAAGCACTTCATTCATCTGGAGGTGTTGCAGTTGTAGTGCAACGCTCAACTCCATGTAGCGAAGTGACTCTGCAGACTCCGCTGGAGGCTGTGGCAGCCCGCATTTTGTTAGATCGTATAATTACAGTTTGTTCTTTATATATACTTCCCAGTTATCAGCTAAAGATTGAAGAGCTTGAAGACCTTATTAGTCAGCTTCCACCACCTTTTTTACTTTTAGGAGACTTCAATGCACACAATCCTCTGTGGGGGAGTGGCAGACGAGATCCTAGAGGGGCTCTTATTGAACGCTTCCTTCTTTCCTCGGGATTGTGCCTACTTAACACGAATGAAGCTACCTATTTTAGTTCTACCACTCATACTTTTACTTCTATAGACTTATCCATTTGTCACCCTTTAATATTACCATTGCTTTCATGGAAGGTCATCCAAAATCCATATGGAAGTGACCACTTCCCACTAATTTTAGAATTTAACCGTTCTCACGTCACTCTTTCATCGCGTTCACCTCGGTGGAAGTTTGAAAAAGCTGACTGGGCACGTTTTAAGCAATCATCTCTTTTAGCTGTTACATCTCTACATCAACTCTCTATCGACGAAGCGACAGACCATCTCACAAAGCACATCCTGGAAGCTGCAATGATTGCCATACCGATGACGTCCACCCATCTTCCTAAAAGGCCAAAGCCGTGGTGGAATGAAGACTGCCGAGAGGCTAAAAAGAAACAAAACAAAGCGTGGGGAATTTTTAGGCGATATCCTACACCGAACAACCTTATTAATTTCAAAAGAATGAGGGCACAGGCAAGGTACATCCGAAGGCACGCTAAGCGGCGAAGCTTTAGAGGATATGCTTCCTCTATTAATAGCAGTGCATCCCTGAAAGAAATTTGGGACCGAGTGCATAAAATCGACGGTTCTTACCGTGCATTTTCTGTCCCACTTTTAAGTTGAAATGGAATATGCCCTGCGAGTCTGAAAGAGCAGGCAGACATCCTAGGGGAACACTTCGAATTTGTATAGAGTTCCGAGCATTATACTCAAAATTTTCAGCGACACAAGTTGCATGCTGAAA